AATAGTGTGTTATAATGTAAGAAATCCCGCTCTCTGCAGATTCTTTACCTCTATTTCTATCTCTTACATAATTAATAGAGTTAGCAGCTCTTGACTACATACAACTATATAGACTGAAGTTCATAAATACTATTTACAACTCAGCTTAAATACTATTATATATTTAACTTCTATATTTATCTTTCTATTATAAATACTTTTAGTAGTTAATAGTATATATTATATCAAGTTATAAATATCTGAATAATTATCTGTAAGTACTTATTCTTATATTTTAAGCTCTATCAGTCAGTAATCATCTGTTATAACTGAAAGAACTAGAAACTTATATACTTTAATCTCTATAAACTCTACTATAGATACTCAGAAGTAGTTATCTGAATTATAAATAATCTTTATAAAAGAAGTCTCAGAGAACTTATTAATTACTTATATAATATTATTCTCTATATCTATGATAGAGAAACTCTTTAAACTTATAAATAAATTAATCTCAGTAAAAAATATTCTTAAGTATCTTCTATAACATTAAGCTATTTTTCTATAAGAAATACTTACTGTTTATAAACATTCTTGAACTGAGTCTTTAGATATAATCTTCAGAGATATCTATAAATTAAAAAGAAACTTTCTTAAGTTATAATTATTTAAGATCTTCTACTGAATTATAATCTATAAAAGCTTTTATAAGTTTATATTTAAAATTAACTCACAAGCTCAGCTGTGTAATATAAAAGATAAAGAAGCTATTATTTATATATTAACAGATCTTTAGTACACTGAAGTTAAGAATTAACTGAATTATTTAGAAAATAATTATAAGAGATTCTACTGATTCATTCTTAAAATCTATTTAAAGAATAAGTTAAAGAACTCTGTAAGTTGAACAGAGAATATCTGAACTGTGATTATTAATATTAGAAAAAGAGATGAAAAATCTGATAAAAACTACTTACAGTATTTTATAAAATTAAAATATGAATTGAGATCTGTGAAAACAGAGCTCTGAAACAAGATCTGAATAATAATATTTATAAAGAGACTGAATAAAGATATATAGAATAAGCTTATTAAGTAAGACTCTAAGTTCTTAACTTAGAAGAAACTGATAACTCTTATTCACTATTTACAGATCACTGTAAGAATCACAGATCTATAAAGAGTAGACAATTAACTGACTCTATAAAAGTAAGAATAACAGGGAACAGATTTATCAGAAAAAGATAATAAGATATAGAGAGATTTATATCTAACTACTAAGTAAAGAGAAAGAGCTTCACAAGCTTCTATATTATTATTATTATTATTATTATTCTTTCATTATACTTATATACAAGCGGAGCTTATAATGAGTTCTTGCATGATGTTAAATACAGGTCAAGTGTTGATTATACAGAAGGAAATACAGGTGTTAAGATCATATCAAGATAATAAGAATATAGAAAAATACAAAGAAGTGATAATTAGATACATACAATAATAACTTCTCAGCTCAGAAACATAGAGTGATTTATTGAAGTGATTTGTACACCTCTGTATTTATTAGAAACCTGAGGTGCTTGAGTTCTGAATTTAATGTATTCTCAGCGGGTTTCGAACCCACACATCTTGATTTCTCACGCTAAGGTACTACTGAGTGGCTGTATTAATCATTCAGTCACCGGGGCACACAAGCTTCTATAAACAGAGTGTATAATAGAAAGATTAAGAAAAAGAGTCTCTGCTTTATTTATTTCAAATCAGAACATCTTTATATAAACTATTTAAATAAATTAAAATAGAAATTTAAAAAGTTACAGACAGAGTCAGTAATAATCTTCTTAAAAGCTTTAAAGCTGATATCTGAATCTGTTACTCTTTTAATGAAAATACATATTTATAGAGAGAGACTGTGCTGCAGTACTACTGCTTTATCAGTATAAAAAGTATTAATAAACTCAGAATCTCAGATCACTGTAGTGTTTCTAAAGCTTATAAAGTAAATAAGCTAAGTGATGAAAACTGAGAACTTACTCTTATACTAAATGAAATATAAGAACTCAGATCTGAGAGCTGAGAAACTTATAAGAGTTATCTTTGAATTGTAAGATCTTTCTGAAACTTGAAGAAGATTTACAGAATCTATGATTATCACAGATATTATAGATAATATATACTTAAGACTTATATAACTTTAAAGATATAATCTGTACATAACTGTCTATAAGTCAGATTGATACTTTTAATCAGTGTTAATAAACTCACTTATAGAGATAGAATCAGTTAATACTGTAAAGTTAATTAGAGAAGATAAGCTTATCTATATAATAACTTTATAAATATCTGAGAACTTTGTAGTTATAAAAACTGAGCTTCAGATATTAGAGAAATATCAACATCTTATAAAGATATTCAGTTCAACTAAGATAGATAAGCTTTTATCTCACTGTAAGAAGAATCTGATAATAAATTTAATAAAAGAGTAGAAACTCTTCTAAGAATTAATCTATAAGCTCTCTTATTATAAGACAGAGATCTTACAGACTTATATAAAGAAGAATTTAAAGAATAACTTTATCTAATCTTTGCAGATCTCTGTAGAAGTCTCTATAATATTTATAAAGAAGAAGAATAAAAATATCAGATTATATATAAACTACTGTAATCTAAACTTCAAGATTATAAAGAGTTACTACTCTTTATCTCTAATTAAGAATGTAATTAACTGTCTTATAAGAGCTGTTATATTCATATAACTGAATATAATTAATATATATACACAGCTGTGAATATAATCTAAAGATAAATAAAAGACTGTCTTTAAAACTATACTGAGATTATTTAAATATTGTAAGGGGCCTACGCCGAATAGATCAGTATAATATTGATAGGTCTTATATAACAAAGATAAAAACATTAGAGAAGGAAAGAAAGAGAAAGTGCAAGAATCAGCAATTGAGATGAATATTTATACACATATGTGGTGATGTACGCGGTGAAGCTTCAGGGTGGAAGAATATATGTGTGTTCATAGCAGCTGAGAATCAGTGATTGAGAATGGCCGAGAATCGGAGTGTATGCTACACATGTTCATAGCAGCCGAGGATCAGCGATCAGGAATGGCTGAGAATCAGAGTGTACACTACACGTGTTTGTAGCAGCTGCAGATTGATGATCAGGAATGAAAGAATCTATGAAGTGTAATGAAATAGTCTATATGATTGATCAGGCGTAGACTGGCCGCTGGGACCATGAATTTCACATTTGGTCCCATTTGGTCTGGTCCCATACATTTCTTGGCGTGAATCCCGCTGGGACTGGCTATCAAAAAAACATGTAAAGTGACTATATATCAGATCTTAAAATGAAACCATGACTTGAAAAAAATGAGAAAGTGATCCCATTTGGTCTCATTTAGTCCCATTCTTGGCATAAAGTTACTATTTTTAGATATTTTAAGGTTTTTTTTAGACTATTTTTAATTTTTTAAAAAGTAACACTTTTTGATAACACTCAAATGAGATTTAAAGTCATTTAAAGCAATAAAAATAATTTAAAATGAGAAGTGGAAATCATGGTCTCATTTGGAAAATGTGACAAGAGTAGACAGTAAGTCCCACTGAGACAGTATGGGACCACTATATAATGTTAAAACTGTGTAATGGGATCAGTCGAATTGGTAATGAGACTATCAAAAAATCTGGTCCTGGTTCCAGACACGGTCACACGGTCAGTCTAATCAGGCGCAGCCTGCCACATTAGCCTTCTCTTTCCAGAAGCAGTTTCTATCAGTCAAGAGCCACTGTTTCAGATAATATAAAACTCAGAGTTCAGGTCAGTTGATTGTAGCCAACTCATTTCACAAGATATTGTTGACTGCAGCTGCAGAATCTCTCATTGAGAATATCTTCAATCTCTCACTTAAGCTCATTATCTTCTTCTATGATGCCTGGTGGCTGCCAGTCAGACATCAGCTGAGAAGGAAATAGATCAGTGACAGCATGATGAAGCAAGCTCATGTGAAATACATCATGAATCTCTGATGATGTGTCAAGATAGTAGTTATAACTATCTAGAACTTCTATCACTTTATATCTGATATAGCAGTAGTCTAGTGTATAAGATGAATATGTGATTCATATATTCTTAAGATTCAATCACACAAGATCTTCTATCTTATACTGCTCTGTGAGATCTCATCAGATGTTGATTTAATCTTCTTAATCTTGTTTTATAGTTGTTATGAAGATCTCTGCTCAGTCACAGACATCTCAAAGCTTCATTATTATATTATCAGCAATCTGAATCAGACTGTGAAGATTCAGTGTAAACTGTGTAATCTCTAGAAGATTTAACACTTTCATATGATACTCATGTGTGGTTCGGAAGAACGTACGACTGTCGGATAATAACGCGGCCGCTTCCGAACTACTAGCGTACGCGTACAAATGTAAAGGGGCCCTAGCAGCCGCTAATTAATTTAGTGTACAAGATTCAATATATAAGAAGCCGGTGTACGCCTGTAATTGTATACTGGCTTAAGCAACCTTTGAATCACATCTAGTAGCATGTCTAAAAACCAGTGAGAAGTGCAGGCTCCTTCAGAGTGTGATAATTCTGTCTATGAAGTGATTCATAGTTATCATGCCAGTGTGATTCTAGAACATCTTAAAAGATAGTATATAAAGAGTAATAAGTGAAAAAGCATCTGATTGATGCTGCTTCACTTGTTGAGGGAAAACTTCATGCTCAGATGAATGTCACATATGAGATATGAATAAATGAGATGTGAGAAAGAGAATGGAAGTGATGAATCAGATTCAAAGAAGTCTGCTTTCTACTCAAAAGAAGAATAAAAAGAGAGAGTAATCATTACTGAAGTTGTACAATGATAACAGAAATCATACAGTGATATAGTAATATAATAATAGACATCATATAATCAATCAGAAATCACTGAAATGAATATCTCTTCTAGCTGATACAAACAACACTCTTCTCTGCTATCTGAACTGAAAGATATGCAGAACCTCTCAGAGAGTTTACTCAAAGTAGTAAGAAAAGCAGCTGAGACTGCTGAACTGAAATCAAAGCTCTGTACACATATAAGAATTCTAAATGAGATTGAGGCCTTGCATATACAGTGACAGGCTGAGGCAGAAGTTAAACAACAATTGACATTCACTGCAGATCAAGCATTCACTATGAAGAGCTTCATCAACACAATTGTCATCATCAATAAGAATAGAGAAAACCAGATCTTAAACCTGCAGCAGAAGATTGAACATTTACACAGACAGATGACTATACTGAATCTGAAGATCTCATTACAATTATTCACAATCTCTTCAGAAGTGTACACATCATCAGAGATCACTGTGCAGAATGAGAATCTAAGCATGAAATACATCAAGTCAGAAGATCTGCTGAAGTCACTAAGCTTTAATAATGACTGAAAAAATGATGCTGCAATCAGCTGGCTAAGTCAGATGCAATTATATTATTAGATTGAACATGAACTCACAGACAGACAGTTAATAGAATTTCAACAAGTTTTAAGATCTGCTGCATTTCTATACAGAAAAGCAAAGTCATTATGAATAACTGATAAAAAGATAAATCTCACAGACTCAGAGTGATATTCATTCTTATAAACATGAAATGAGTTTTTCAAATGAATCTTGCATAACTTTGAGAAAGTGAATGTATAAGATAAGTATTATAAACACTTCACTGAGTGTAGATAAGTGAGTGATCTTACATTATACTTCACACACTTCAGTTTACACTATCTCACATTGAATGAAGAGCTTTCAACATCTTTCTGTTTATAGATCTTCATTCATGATCTTACATCTGAGTTGAGAGTGAAATGAAAATGCTTAATCTCACAGCCAGGCACAGTGAAGAAAGCATACAATATTCTTATTATACAGAAACAAGTGAGTCAATTATGACAGAAAATACTACAATTGAGTATATCTCAGTGAAGAACAGATAATCAGACTTCTATGATATAAGTCACACACTCAGATGTGATGAATCTAGATCTGAATGTCATTATTAAAGCACTGAATTCCCTGAAAAAGGAATTCTCTGAGTGAAAACCTTGATATCATGAGCATTGAGCTTGCTTCAACTGCAGATATTAAAATCATGATGCAAAAGATTGCACTCAGTGTACACAGTCAAGAGAAGTAAGAAAGTCAAAAAACTAGCAGAATCAGTGAGCTCAGAGACACTCACTGATATTCTATGAAAAGTCTTCAAAGTGAAAGAGATGTCTGTGTTAGATAACTCTCTGAATTCTGTGAATGCAAAGAAGAAGCAGGCTTCTGAATAAGATGTGAGTGAGAATGATGAAGTGAACACTCATCTCAATACCTTGAGATCTGAAATGTTAATATATAGAGAGCACTTGAGTAAGAATCAAGAGATGGCTGCAAAAGTGTTAGTAAACATAGAAGCTTCTATATAATATATTAATAATTATATAATCTGAAGATTGAAAGAGGTCTGCTGAGTGAAGAATTTCTGATATATAAGATTATCTGATAACTGATATTTAATATCATCTGCAAGAGTAAGAGTTTTCTTGCACTTCAGAGAATGATCTTGCTATATTTAAGCATGAGAGCTGCAGAATGTGAAATATGACCTTATTCTCAGACTTGATTAATTTCAAAGATTTAATCTGCAGATTCAATGATGTACATGCTATATACAGTTGACTGATAGAAAGAAAATAATTCATACAATTCTATCAACTGATATGAGAAGAACATTTCACATCTCTGATATAGAAGAGTTAAATCTGCTTACACATTAATAAGCAAAGAGAATGATTCACAAGACCTTATCTGAAAGCATTCTGTATGTCATATGAGACTCAGAAGTGAAGGAAATCAAGATAAAGAATATGTAGGAGAACAAGTGTATGAAGAAGCTTCTGAAGAAGCATAGAAAGATCTTTTAAACAGATCTTTCACTGAAATTGCTGCTGGAATGAGAATTTGTATATGAGATTAACACAGAGGATACAAAATCAGTCAATCAGAATATGTATCTTCTGTCACAAATGCATCTCAAAGAACAGAAGTGTCAGATCACTGACCTTCTAGAATATAGTCTCATACAACTCTTATCAAGTGTGTGAGGCTTTTCAGTTCTATTTGTGAAAAAGGCAGATGAAGAGTGATAGATGTGTATTGATTATCAAGCACTTAACAAGCTTATGATCAAGAATGAATATTCACTGTCACAGATTCAACAACAGTTGAATACAGTTGAAAATATCTGATATCTATCAAAGATTGATCTTCTCTCAGAATACTGGCAGATTCATATAAATGAACTGTCAGTTCTGTGAACCACATTTAATATATAATGAAGAAAGTTCAAATTTCTAGCAATGTCATTCAGTCTGACAAATGCACTCATTATCTTTTAAATAATGATGAATACAATTCTTTATAAACAGAATGAAACCTCATATCTCATATATCTCAATAACATTCTAGTCTTTTCAAACTCATACAATGAATATCTGAAGCATCTTGATAAAGTGCTTACAACTCTGACAGAGTATAAGCTCTATATTAAATCAATCAAGTGTGTGTTTGAAATGAAAGAGTTGAAGTTTGTGAGATATGTAGTGAGTGATAACTGTATACATCTCATCTCAGAGAAATTGAATGTTATAGTGAATTGACTGCAGCTGAGAAATGTACATCATGTACAATAGTTTCTTAAGTTGATCTCATATTACTGCAGATTCATCAAGAATTTCACATGAATATCTGCATCACTCTCAAATCTCTTAAGAGAAATGAATGCAAATCTGTGAAAGAAGAAGTTTCATTCAATTATCTGAAATGCTACATGTAAAGAGGCTTTTCTCACACTGAGAGAATGTGTAACAACATCTTCAGTGCTTATTCAATCAGATCATAATAAATCTTTCTACATTGAGATGAACACATCTGAATGAGCTATCAGAGATGCTCTTCTACAGATAGGCAAGAATGACAAGCTACACCTGATGATGTATAATGATAGGAAACTATCAGACACCGAGCTCAATTACTCAGTGTATGAAAAGAAATTGCTAGTGATCAAGCACATGCTGGTGTTATAAGATAGATATATCAACAACAGACATATGACAATGATAATCACAGATTATGAAAGCCTTGTCTATCTACAATCAATGATAAAATCTTTCAAACACTTAGTATGTTGAATCTCAGAGTTTCAAGTGTATAATCTTCATATCAAATATCAAAAGAGATCAGATATCATGATATCTGATGCAATCAGTCACAGATCTGATTTCATGAATGAGAGTTCTGTGAATCAGGCATAAGGAACATTCATGTTAAACACACTGAGAGAATGCAAGGAATCAGAATGAGTGAACATCATGATCTCTTACTTAGAGAATGACAAGATGTCAAATGATAAGTGTCTTGTAAGAGTAGTAGAAGAGATGCTTTCAAACTTCAAGCTGAGGAAATTGAGAAATGAAAACAATGTTGTGCTTTATCATAATCTAGAATATGCAGAAGCTCTCTATCTAGAACCTTCATTTAAACATGACTTGATGACTCACATGCACAAGAAATTCAGTCACTTAGAAAGCCCTGAACTCATGAGTGTACTCAAATCAAGAGCATACTGGCCAAGCATGACTGAGAATATTCAGGTGTACACTCACAAGTGTCTGAATTGTCAGGTTGCGAAAGAATCTAAGAAAGGGTTAGAATATGAGAAAGTACAACATCAGATGAAGTGTACAATACAACTGTTTAAATGATGAAGAGTGAATCTCATAGACATATTATCACAAATATCAAATGAAAATTGATGAATAATCACTGCTATTGATTACACTACTGGCTGGCCAGTTGTGAAAGCAGTTTCAGAGACAACAGAGAAGATGATGACAAAGTTTCTACATGATGAGATCTATGTTAACTATGAAATGCTGTGTGAGATTCTAACTGATAACAGTGTGAATCTTGTAGAAGAAGTAGTGAGGCATTTCATGAGCCAGTTACAGATAAGATATCATAGAACAACACTATATCATCTGTGAATAAACAGAAAGATGAAACACTTGAATGAAATCTTGAGTAATATGCTGATGAAATATCTAGTGAGTAAGTCTACAAGACTATGAGATGAATATCTCAGACAGATACTATTGGCCACACAGATTCAACAGTATGCAGTCTTCAAGTGTTTATCATTCTATCTGTTGTATGAATTGCATCCACGCATTCTGAAGAATGCTTCAGAAAAGGTGAGAGAGAGAGCAGTTGCAGATGCAGCAGAAACAGCAGTTGCAGACACAACAGTCACAGATGCAGAATCAAGATTGAAAGAGATCAGCCACACACATGCAAAAGCTAATGAGTTACTTCTGAACTGAGCAATTCAATTGAAAAGAATATGAGACTCACTTGTTAAGAAATTAAGTCTCAAGATGAGAACATGAGTTCTCATACACAATGAGAGTTCTGAGAAGTTTCAACCTAGGTGATTTGAGTTATATAAGATACTCAAATCACATTCTCTGAGAATGTATGCATTGGAAGAATCAGAGAGATGAGTCTTATACAACTTAATCAATGATTCATAACTTGTGAAAGCAAAGATGTAAGACCTGAGTGAATTATAATTATCTGCAGCACTATTATCAGTGTTGAAAAAGAAGAGACTTATAATTGAAAAGTCTCACAAAGTAAGAGAAATCATAGATACTTACAAATCAGATGATCTCACTTATTTCAATCTTTTCATGATTATAAGAAAAGAATGAGAAGTAATGAAGAAATCAGATGAATATCACACTTCAATAAGTGATGAGACTGTAGCTGATTGTATGATAACATACTGCAGACAGCAGGTGCAATGCAGCAAAGAGTAGTCTCAGAGCAGCAGACTTGCACATGAATCAGGTCACAGAAGAAAAAGAAATTCAGAGTTGAATTTAACTGTCTACATCAGTTTAATTGCAGAGATTACAGAGAACAAACTATCTGAAACATCTGTGAACACATGAGACTAAGTTATCTTGACCTCTGAGAACACTCAGAGATCAGGTAAGATTAGTTTTAATGAGTTATTCACTGTAGTGATCTGAGCAGGTGAAGAGAGACAGTATAATACATAAGACAGAATCACAAAGATGAAAGCTGCTGAACCTAGTCACTGAATACTGTACTATATAGAGGTCATGTAAGAGTAGTAGCTAGCAGATAAAGAAAAAGCATAAGAAAAAGAAAAGAGATAATGAATTAATCATCAATCATAAGAGTCAGCTGTAAAAAGACAAATATTATTATATATATCTCATTCATTTTCATATGTCATATATTTAATCTATTTCCAACATCACATCATCTGAAAAACATCAAAAACAAAGGAAATCTCAAAACTCAAGATCTGCAAG